TGCCATTGGACGGGTGAGAGGTGAACGGAAGGAAAAAGATAAAAAGAAAAAAAGAAAAAACGAAACGAAGCAAACTGACAAATGGCGGGAAAGGCCCCCATTGAAACAGCCGCCTTGCTCATTTCTAGAGACAGAAGGGGCCTGATTCAACGGGCGCGATGTTACGGGTGTGGTAAATAACACACGATGAGGGGAGGACGAAAAAAGCAAAAAAAAAAAAAAAAAAAAAAAAAAGGAACTGTTGCAGTGGGCGTGGCCCCACTACTCTCCACATGCACAAAAGACAAAAATCATGGCGGTGTACCTTTCCATGTTCTAAGGAAGATTCACTCTCCAGTGACACAGCTGCTACATAAATAAATGAATAAATAAAAATATATATACAGGGTAACCGACGTTTGGGACGGGCCGAACGCCCGAACGTATGGGACCCCTTGGGGATGCGTTCGGCCGTTCGGGTCGAACGAGGACCAAAAAAAACAAAAAAACAAAATCAAAAAAAAAAAAAATCTGAAAAAAAGATATGTTATGAATAAAAATAACTTAAACAAGATGTGCCTGAGCATTACATCCAAATTCCTTACCAAATTTGAAATAAAAATAAAATACAAAAAACAAATACTAATAATAAAAGTAACAATAAATAAAAAAGAATTAAATTTAGTGGAAGGAGGCCCTCATTCTCGAAATTGTGTAGCAGCTGTGTCACTGGAGAGTGAATCTTCCTTAGAACATGGAAAGGTACACCGCCATAAATTAATGTTTTTTAAACACCCAATTTCCCGACACAAACCCGAAAAACATTTCTCAAAAAATACAGGACAACTCAGCCACCATGTCCCTCATGATAAAAAATGACCAAAAAACATTCCTGCTTTTTTTTTTTTTTAACAACTTGTTTAAATCGATTTTCGTTTTTCATTTTTTTTAATCTTAAACGAAGTTGGATTCCAAAATCAAAAATATAGGATTGTAGGGTTTTCCAAGCCCTACAACCCTATTTATATATTTATATATATAAATATATATATATATATCGTCACAAACAGAACTGCCCGGTAAACCATAGGCAGAGAGAGAGAAGAGGACAACAAACGAGGGGCTGTGACAAACTGTTTCGTCGGAGTTATTTATATATATATATCGTCACAAACAGAACTGCCCGGTAAACCGTAGGCAGAGAGAGAGAAGAGGACAACAAACGAGGGGCTGTGACAAACTG